CTTAGCTTGTATTGGCTCAAGGTCAATTGTCCAATGCCAGATATGTAATTAAGTCTAGAAAACTGCGGTATATTATAAATAACAGATGCGGGATAGAAAGAAAAATTATGATCAAGATTATAATCGACAACTTTAGTACGTAATATCGATCAGTGCTGTTACGTGCGCTACTTGTATCAAGCAGAATATAGTATACAACTACGGTACTCAAACATATAGAACACCCACAGTTGAAAATAAAAAGACAAAAGAAGTGCTTGTTAAGTAAGAATCAAAATGCACGGAAAATCATGGGTATTTATAGATATTAGCGTTTGTTATATACACATTATAATTCAGCCAATGCGCAAAGATGAATGTTATGCTACTTTTCAATAGTAGAATTCCATGTTGATATCCTAGAAAGCTCCATCACGTTCTGATTGGATGGAAACTCGTTGGCTACTTTAGGGTCTCTGTAGGCACCGTCGTAGTTCTTGGAAGCCGTCCCAACAAGTATCACAAACCATAACAGAAAGTCATACTTCATCTTTTCTGACCGCTTCGAAACTAACAATGATTACGTTATCGATGTTTAGAAATATTTAGCATATACATAGTTTGTATTACACATATCCTTAATTATTTTATTTTTTCCGGTTAAAAATTCATCCGGATATTATGATCTCCTACCAGAAGGTTCACTTATCGACTTAGAATACGCAGATGACATAGTCCTGTTTGGTGAAGACGCTGATGAAATGCAGAGTCTTTTGGTAGCACTTAGCAACAATGCCAGAATGTTTGGGATGCGCTTCTCTCCCTCTAAATGCAAGTTGTTGCTTCAGGACTGGTCTGCGTCAACACCTGAACTAAGGATAGGGAGTGAAGTAACCGAACGCGTTGACAACTTCACTTATCTTGGAAGTCTGATCAGCCCTAATAGGTTGGTGTCTGACGAAATCTCAGCACGGATTCGAAAAGCCCGTTTGGCCTTTGCCAACGTACGTCATCTATGGCGAAGGCGAGATATCCGTCTATCAATTAAAGGATGTGTATACTGCGCAATAGTTCATTCCGTTCTACTTTACGACTGAGAAACATGGCCATTAAGAGTAGAAGATACTCGTAAGTTACTAGTATTTGACCACAGATGTCTTAAAAATTATTGCTGGTATCATCGGGTAAGTAATAGTGAGGTTAGACGCAAGGTATTAGGGAATGATGGTAAATCAGTTGATGAGGTTGTAAATCTTCATCGACTGAGATGGTTAGACCACGTGCTGTGTATGCCTGAACACCGTTGACCACGACGTGCAATGCTGACTAGTGTTGTGGATGGTTGGAAGAAAGTTAGGGACAGCCAAACCAAAACGTGGCATCAGTCATTGAAGTCACTAACTTCTAGTGTGAGCCATTTTGGTAGATGCAGAATACTTGATTGGGGTCAGCGTGACAATCGTAACGAATGATTGGAGACTGTGTGTGACATGTCTCCGAATCGATCATAATGGTGTAGGTGTATACACTCTCTGTTTTCCCTTAAACTATATCTTTCTACGAACTAATTATCTCTCCCTGTATCATGTTCTTATATACAATCTTTCTTTTATATATTGCCACCACTGCGTTAACTACTTCTATGAATCCGGTGTTCATCTTGCTGTGCTAATGAAGTAAGGCCACTTGGACCGATGCATATATGTGCCTGGTTCTACGTTGTAACTAACTGACTGACTAATACAATGTACAAGAAAACTATCAGTTTGGTTATCATCTTATGGCAAATTATTATAAACATTTATCTGACACAATAATTCATAATACCACTATTGAGACTTTACTAAATGTTGTTTTCGAAAAATTGAACGTTATCATATATTTCTGGATTATAACACGGATTCCACAAATAAATAATAGTAATGAACAGCTTTTTAGTCTTAGTATAAACCTCAGTATTGTGCATCCACGTCTCACCAAAGTTCGAACTTAAGAGCTTTAGGTCAAACCTGTCTACTTCAACCTGAATAGCTATGGGAATCTTGAAGACCATAAAGTTAGATGACACAAATTGAAGCCTCACAGAGAGAATTAGTCCCCTTATAATGTCAGATACAACTTGTTGACGACTGTCAAGTAGCATGAAAACTGAGTCGAGCAATCCTTGATACTACGTATAATCATCTAATTTCCTGAGAAATTGTACATGATATCTAGTCACTTAAACTAATGTTTGCATTACAATTTAATCGAAAGAATTCCATAAACACTACAGATCAGATGAACATTAGTCACTAGTCAGTCAATGATCAAGTAATGTAACTAGTTTAAACATTGAACATTCAACACACATATAACTGATCTGAAAATTACATTTGAAATGTTCAGATATAATGATCTCTTTATGGATCTATGGACATGATGACACTATTTTAAATGGTGATATCAATTAGTTTTTGAAAATTTAATCAATAATTCTTTAATATTGTAAGGGTTCCAAATGTTCCAACAACGTTCAACTAAATAACAAGAATTTTATAAAAGTTAGAATTCAATATAACACCATTTAACTTATTAGATTCAACGATGAAGAACACATTGGTAGTTAGGTAATATTCGATTATAGATCCCATATTGAAAGATTACTGGTATTTGTTGGGCAACATTGAGTGAACAATGCTTAGTTTAAACTAACAATATTGTGATTAGGATATTCAGTACGTATCAGCAACCATCAAATAACACAATGACAACTGATGTAGGAATATGTTGCGCGAAAAGTAGAAGGAACAAACCATTACATTACATTAGTCTATTAAACTATCGGCTATTGGACTTAGCTACGTTAATAGACTCAGATTGCCTAATTGAAATCTGCATGGTTATAATAACAAAAGGTTAGAGACGATGAGTGAAATGTTTATGAATCGGTCCCAATGTTATCAATGTGTTCACTCTTGTCTTTTCTTGTATCCTCAGATTCAAAATCACATTGCGTTTTCTTATTTATCCCACGAATTCATTATTTGCTCTCGAATCGCATTAGTGATCTGTAATCTTTTCCAAGACTATTGATACTGTTACTACCTTTTAATAGTCTGTAACTGATTTAGGTGTCCTAATGTAATGCGATCACGGTGGATCTGATGCAGATGTGAAGGCACGGATTGGCAAAGCAAGAGCAGCATATCTACAACTGAAGAATATCTGGAACTCAAAACAATTGGCAACCAACACCAAAGTCAGAATTTTCAATACAAATGTCAAGACAGTTCTACTGTATGGGGCCGAAACCTGGAAAACTACGAAAGCCATCATCCAGAAGATACAGGTGTTTATTAACAGTTGTCTACGCAAAATACTCCAGATCCGTTGGCCGGACACTATAAGCAACAACCTACTGTAGGAGAGAACAAATCAGATCACAGTGGAGGAAGAAATCAGGAAGGAGCGATGGAAGTGGATGGGACACACATTGAGGAAAGCACCGAACTGCGTCACAAGACAAGCCCTCATATGGAATCCTCAAGGCCAAAGGAAAAGAGGAAGACCAAAGAACATATTACGCAGAGAAATGGAGCTAGACATGAGAAGAATGAACAAGAATTGGATGGGACTAGAAAAGAAAGCCCTGGACAGAGTGGGTTGGAGAACGCTGGTCGGCGGCCTATGCTCCATTGGGAGTAACAGGCGTAAGTAAGTAAGTAAGTAAGTAATGTAATGCAATATTTTGGACCGAAATACATGTTTTAGGATCTATGTTTTATATGACTGACTGACTAACTAACAATCTGAGGTGATAATTATGAACAAAGAAATTTTCATAAATCTCAATAATCATGATTTCATGTTTACTAAAAACAAGCCTCGACATGTTTTAGTACAGTGTTATAAGAGAAAACTATAGATCAATAGAATTTAATCACTGTTGACAGTGTGAGGTATTGATCGATGACACAAATTAGCTATTTAAAAGTCCATAATATGGTTTAGATTAGATACAATTTCAAATAGGTTCTTTTAGGATGGTGAAAACAAGACACAGAATCAATCTCTTATATCACTGACTATTTATCTGAGCTATGCTGAAACGTTGTTGGGGACGTTAAATCTCTAAAACTCAATTGAAAAAGGTCCTAAGTTTTGTAATTTTATTTTGAAAATTTGAATTTCTTTGTTTTTGCGCCAAAAGCGCTTTTCGCACATTCATGTTGTATTTCCCACTTGGGAGAATCTTAAATGGAATTGGTGTGTTGTGTGTTTTAGTATGCTATTTGGTAACTCTCCCTAAAGACGATTTTGTGCTGTATATATACGTTTTGATTTGTGTTTGTTGTTATCGTTCGTGCTTCTGGCTTTTTGCGGAATGTACTTCCGCGTTCGAACTTTGATTTCTCTCTCTAGGTAGCGAGGCTGGGATGCAATAGAATAGCTAGTTCATTGGTCTTTAGTTACCTAGCCTTTATTCCATTCGCAGACTAAGTGAACTCGTAACCACTTCAAACCTAGCACAGGTGAAGACGATAATTACACTCAGCGGCTGAAAACGATAAGTGACATGACTAAGAATCGATCACAATGATGCAGATCCATTTAATGTTTATATTACTGAAGATTTTTAGTTCCAATACACCTTTATATTGATATAAATTCATTTTGATGCTCATTTATACCAATATTCTTTAATGTATATTATTTTAATTCATCTTCTTGAACAATACTCTCACGATTCAATCTTTCTCATAATCATTATCATCAGAATTATTTCAATTCATTTGCTATTTATTTCTTTTTAAACTTCATGGAAGGCCGTTTCGTCCTATTGTGAGACTCTTCAACAGTGCACATACACGATCCTCCCCGCAAGATTCGAACCCAGGATCTATTAAGTATCGCTCACGAGCGCTTAACCACTCGACCATTGAGTCTTTTAAACTTCGTAGCATCGTGTTAATATAACATGTTAACCTGGGTTAATGTAAATTTATGCCAAGTGTTACAGAGATTATAACTATTAGATTGACAACTAGATCTTACATATATTCACATTGAATAACATGAACAAAACATTCAGCAAATACAGTACTTAGGATTTATATAACTTGTAACACGATAATTGAAGGTCATGATTATGACATTAATAATAATAATAATAATAACAGTAATGGGAAAACATAAAAATTTGAAATATAATGATGGCGCCTATATCTCTCTAAGAGTAATAGATTAACAAAAACTCAATTGTCACAGCCAAACAAAACACAAAAACAAAATTGTCAAATTACTCAAATACACGTATACACAGAAAGCCAAATCATGATAAAAAATAATAAGTTATGATAGTACTATCATCATTATTATTATTATACTACTTATAATAATTGCACAAATTCATAAGTAATATCTGAATAAATATCTAAATTTATACAATAAGAGAAATATATATATAATATATATATATATATACGGAATTTTTTTGATTCATGAATTGAACAATGAAAACAAATGAAACCGGTTTTTTTCGAGAAAAAAAAAGAAAACACAATGAAGGAGGAAGTAATCAGAAATAAACAGTGATTTACTCTAATATCAAGTTTATATATAAACACTCTAATCCATTCCATACACACGTAATACACACACACACAAACACACGGAGAGAGAGTGAGAGTGAGATAACTTGTAATAATGCAAAATGGAAATGAAACAAAGTTATGTATACACATATGAAGAACGATGGTGTTGTTGTTGTTGTTATGGTTTTAATTTTAGTGTTTATCTAAAGTAGTAGTAGTAGTAGTAGTAGTAGTAGTAGTAGAAGTAGTAGTAGTAGTAGTAGTGGTAGTAGTAGTAGTAGTAGTGGTAATAGTAGTATTAGTAATAGTAATAGTAATAGTCGTAGTAATAGTAGTAGTAGTAGTAGTAGTAGTAGTAGTAGTAGTAGTAGTAGTAGTAGTAGTAGTAGTAGTAGTAGTAGTAGTGGTAGTAGTCGTAATAATAATGAACTATTTGCACAGTGGGAAATTTAAAACAAACAATGGGATTTTATTTGACGCGGTCAAATTTCTTACATTGTTTAAATCAATAAAACATTACTGGAATGATCCATATTGTTGTTTTCCAAGAAAAACAAAACAACAACAAAGAGATAATCATAAATAAATAGGACATTATTATTATTATTATTATTATTATTATCAACTATGAGTTTGACTTAATTCATTCATATTTATATGAGAAGGAACTTTATTTAATATTGATTGAAAATATTTTCCAACATCAATAAATTCATTTAACGAACGTAAATAGAATGGATGATGCTAGAATACAGATAATCATATAAGAGGAGATCAAGAGAGAAGAAGGTGGGAAAGAAGAAAACAAAAAAACATACATATAGAGAATAATCTAAACGGTTACGATAATAATCTATACAAAAAAAATAAAACTTTAAAACATATAAGAATACTTTACTGTTTTAATAAAAATAATAACTATCTACCCATTAGTGACAAGTTTTAAAAGGTTATTCATGAAGGTTCGATGAGAAATAGTAACCAGTCAAGTTTAACCATATCGGGTGTGAAGTAATAACTTTATCAATAAATATAAGAAAATGATTGTGAAACATTATGACTTGATTGAAATTAAAAATTTAAACTAATGAATGATTTCTCAGTGACTTAAAGGACATCTATTTGATATGAGATTAAATGTTATCTATTCTGTTACTTATGGAATCGTTGATATTAAAGAGTTCATATCTATTAAGACAAATTAACTATCAAATGATTACCAGCTTTTAATTGTTACCTAACTAAGTTTAATTCATGATATAAACTGATGGTTTATTATTTTATTTATTTTAACATATAAGTATAGGTACAGGGAGGCACCAAATACATATGCGCCACACAAATCTCAATTGATTTGTGTGAGGGTTGTGATACTGGCCGGGTGCCCAAACCGAAGCAGGTGGTTTTCTTAGGGGGCCATACCCCGAGCCTTCGACCTGAAGATCTGATCCACAAGGCAGTGGAGCATCGTAAGGAGATGCAGTCCCATGGTAGCCGGTGACCAACGATTGGTTCATACACCATTTGTTCCCGCAGGATACTGGAGTTAGCCCATGTGCACCATTGGTTTGGGATCCGGTTAAAGCGCCAGACATTCGGTTTTCGTCCTCTCATTTTTGTAAACAACACCGGTGCCACGAGAAGGCAGTGTGTAGGACTTCCCTGGCAGAGGCTATATACGCATGGCCATGTGAGAGCATTTCGAGAGGGAGAGTGGACTCTCCCCACTCTCGGCCATACCAGGGCATTTGGGGGCATAAACTGATGGTACATAGTTTTGTTTGAAGACCATCCAATTGTAAGTTTATAGTTATTCATTAACTTTGTTTTTTTTTTTTTAAAGTTTAGATAGTTGATAAACATTTACAGGTTTTACATCTTTTTACTCTATTGAATTTTTAACTTTTCACTAAGATCAATTCTTAACAATATGATTTCAAATGTTTTAAACGATGAATATAACCGAATCATACATAAATTAATGATCGATTTTAAATTTTACTTGGATTGTATAACATTAATTATAATATTAAAGTTGGAGAAATGGTACTTAAATGTAACCAATAATAATTAGTTTAAAGTTAAATATCTTAACTATTAATTAAATGAATTGGACATGTGTTGCGCATGCCCGACCACCGACTACCCCGACGTGCTATGTTTTATGGTGTAGGAGTAGGTTGGAAGAAATCTAGGGGGACGGCCAGAACAAAACATAGCACAAATCCATGAAGTCACTGACAAGTGGACTGAGTCATGTTGGTAGGTGTAGACTACCTGGTTGGGGACCGCGAGATGACAGCAACCGATGGTTAGGGACCTTGAATGACATGGCTCAAAATCGTTTGCAATGGCGCAGGTGCATCCACTCTTTGTGTTCTCTCAAACTCTAATCTTCTGAATTCTTCATGTCCTTTATTTTCTTTCCAAATCTATTCCACTGGACTATACTCCTTTAATAACACCATCAAACCTTAATGTCTCCTATCTCTACTTATACTTTCAGTACCTCTACCACTATGTGATTTGAATCGATAACTGAATCTCTGTGCTAATGTGGTATGGCAACTCGAACTGATGTACGTACGTACGAAGTTCCACGTTGTTACTGACTGACTGACTGAGGTAAATGAATACCATGCTCTAAATAAAAATTTACATTAATATTAATGGGGGTTATTTGATAAGATCTAAGAAATAACTTACTTAAAGTGTACATTTCACAATATGAATATTTTTCTCTTAAGAAATCCGAGAAAAGCATCATCTTAGAAACAAGAACATAACTCAAAGATCAATCAATTATGAAATATATTCAATGATGATTTTACTATAGTCTATATCAATGTAGACTAACTCACTATTCTGGAGGTGGGGTCGTTGATGCCCGCTATTAAGATGCCCCATATTAGGATTAAGTATCTCTCTAATCATTCCTGGCTTCTGGTAGTTCTATAACTCAGGTCAGGCCATGGAAGTCCTACTCACTGCATTCTCGTGGCACCGGTGTTGTTTACGAAATTGAGAGGACGAAAACCGAATGTCCGGCGCTATAACCGGACCCCCAACCAATGGTGCACATGGGCTAACTCCAGTATCCTGAAGGAACAAATGGTGTATGAACCAATCGTTGGTCACCGGCTACCATGGGACTGCATCTCCTTACGATGCTTCACTACCTTGTGAATCAGATGTTCAGGTCGAAGGCTCCGGGTGTAGCCCCCTAAGAAAACCATCTACTTAGGGTTTGGGCACCCGGTCAGTATCACAGCCCTCACACAAATCAATTGAGATTTGTGTGGCGCATATGTATTTGGTGTCTCCTTGTACCAATATCTATGTGTTAAAATAAATAAATAAAATTTACGCTTAAAGAGGAACATCAACAATTTCTTTCTTGTCAATTAAATTACTACTACGAACAATCAGTAAATATTTAACATTTTTTTAAAGATGAACTTGATTCAACAAGGCTTGCAATTTCCCTAGTAGAATGATCAACTGGCTAGTATAATAAACCTAATCAAACAAGGCTTGAAATTTTGGAAAGTGAAACCAACAGTTAACTAATTTGATAAACTACCTTAGCTTTATTTATTTATTTATTTTTATTTTAACACATAGATATTGGTACAGGGAGGCACCAAATACATATGCGCCAAACAGATCTCATTTCATATATGTGACGGCTATGATACTGACCAGGTGCCCAAAGCGAAGCAGAATCTTAGCTTAAAGAATATCTTAATAGTAAACTATATGTAACTATAAAGAACAAAATAAACATTATTCAAAATAGAATAGAACAGGTTAAACAAACCATAAGTGCTTGATATTTTGGTCGACATCTCACATCTTTCTCTAAACATTGTGAAACAAAATTACGAAATTCCGATGAAAAATCTGTTGTTGTTGTTGTTGTTGTTGCAGTTGTTGTTGATGATGATGATGATGACGATGATGATGAATAAAATTCATTTGAATGATTACCATCATTACTTATAGAATGATTAGAATATTCAATATTAACAAGTGTTGTAGTTGATAATGAAGTTTGAATAGATTTTGGTAAATATTCTGGTAAACTAGGTGAATCATTATGTAATACACAAGTAAGTTGTTCAAATACAGAATTCCATGGCGGATAAGGAAATTGTCCAGTGGATAATTCAATTAAAGTAATGCCTAAACTCCATACATCTGAACGTATATCATAACCATTAGCGCTTAACTCTGGATGAATACGTTCTGGCTATAATAATAATAATAACAGTATTAATAATAATAATAAAAATGAAGAATAATACATTGGCATAAAATTAAAATTTTATTACTGCTATAACTTGTGGCCTATGTGCCCTGTTTATAGTATGACGTAAAGAATACCGTCAATTAGAGAGCAGTGAATTGTCAATCGGATCAATGATGCCTAAAACTCGTGCGAACAGTCTAGAGTTCTTATTAGCCCTGCTTTCCGCCTAACCCAGCCAGTTAAGTCCAGAACACCTATTTCAGCCTCTGCAATATGAATCATTTATTTCAAATATAATGGGTTTATATACCAACCAGCCCCCGAATACCCTGGTATGGCCGAGAGTGGGAAGAGTCCGCTCACCCTCTCCAAATCCTTTCACATAGCAACGCGTATAAAGCCTCTGACACGGAAGTCCTACTCACTGCCTTCTCGTGACACCGGTGTTGTTTACGAAATTGAGAGGACGAAAACCGAATGTCCGGCGCATTAACCGGATCCCAAATCAATGGTGCACATGGGCTGGCTCCAGTATCCTGCGGGAACAAATGGTGTATGAACCAATCATTGGTCACCGGCTACCATGGGACTGCATCTCCTTACGATGCTTCACTGCCTTGTGGATCAGATCTTCAGGTCGAAGGCTCCGGGTGTGGCCCTCTAATAAAACCATCTACTTAGGGTTTGGGCACCCGGTCAGTATCACAGCCCTCACACATGTCAAATGAGATTTGTGTGACGCATATGTATTTGATGCTCCCTTGTACCAATATCTATGTGTTCAAATAAATAAATAACCAACCAGACAGACCACATCGTTTCAATAAAATAGAAAATAACATTTGTACATGATTTGACCAAATTTGGCTGTCAGTGTGGGAGGTATTGATTAATAGACAAGACATAATTCAAGAATGGTAAATCGCATAATAATAGTTCATAGATCAAAATAAAGCTCATAATAAGAGGAATATGATTACGAATAGTTTAGTTATTCAAAAATTATCCGATAAAAATATACGCATAGTACTTGATTATAAATGGATCCCAAAAGTTACCATTCATTATGCTTATCGGGGCATAACAATTACACAAATAAGCAAAAACTAATACAAAACAACGATTCAATGATCACAGTAACTAAGTAAGTAGATAATGCTAGTTTGTGTAATATACTTCTTCCATGTAAGAGTTAATGATATTATACCCCAATAACGGTTGTTCAAGATGAACTAGCAGCTTTAATTACTAATCCACTAATACATGAAACCAAAAGAGAAGTAATAGATAGTCATTTCGTCACAGTTAGACTCCTCAGCAAATGTGCACACAATACAACTAAGATACTGACAAGTTTCGAATCATTGGCGTTATGAATTTATGTATGAAATGGTGTAACTTCTAGGTAGATTTCAGTCCTAACTTAACGACCCAGAAGAGTCAATTAAGCCATATTACCATAATACACAAAAAAATGGAACTTCGGAAACGTATAGGGACATTGAATTTCCACTAAGTATCTGAACTTTAATTTTGTATTACCTGAGAGTCATTAGGAAGATGTATTTAGAATCATGAAAATTGAGAATAACATCTGGAATAACTCATTAGTAACATCTATGATAGTAGGAAACAGTGATAGTTTTTTTTTCAGAACTATTGGAGGGTCACTAATGTTTTTCAAAGTGTTTAGATAGATATGTTTTACTGAGAAGTGCCATCTCGGAGTTCTATTGAGAAGCCGTGACCAGTGGAGCTAATCCGTGTCGGGTAGAGATAGGTATCTACCTTAGTACAATGGAAGATGGTCGCGCAATTTCGTGGATTGGTTGATGTTAGACACTAACACCATTGGATGCCGGCTCAGTGGTTGAGTGGGTCAAGCGTTCGCGCGCGAGACTGAAGGCCCTGGGTTCGAATCCCGCGAGCGGGATCGTGGATGCGCACTGCTGAGGAGTTCCATACTAGGAAGAAACGGCCGTCCAGTGCCTCCAGGTTTCCAACGGTGGTCTAACATCATCCGATTCATGATCTCAATCAAAAACAAAGGTTTCTGTTGACCATTTATATAATAATCCAAAATCAAGCGTAGCCCATCATTATGTTATTTACGTTAGTTAAGCAGTGGTAATGGTATAAAAAATGATTTATAGACAATATTATTTGAAAAAAAAAGATTTATGAGATAATGTCAAAACTCACGGTCCAAAAGCCGAAAGACATTGAATATAACTACGCCCACTGTTACCGCTTCTGACTCATGACATTCAACACTTTTCCAACCACGAATCACGGTTATTATACACACTCTAATCAATTGAGTTGTACTTACCGACATAGCTTTGTTTAAAAATTAATGACTTTATGAACGAGTGTCATTTTCACTTTGGCCGTTCGTAGCTTTCTTCTAACCCACACCTACACCAGCAAAACTGATGGGTCGAAGTAGGCGCCAATTAATTATATGTAATATGTATGATTCAATAACCTTAGTTAAGTTATTTATCTTATCAATGCTAACAATGATAGGCGCAATATATAACATCAGTTATTACACAGTAATAAATCAGTGTTACACTTTCACACTTTTATTTGTTAGTTGTATACGTGTCTGTGTGCTTCGACTCCTAGTGTAAACATAAAGCCGGGAGATTCAAGCACCTCCGGTTGACAAATCTTAAGCCAGATGGATCACACTGTTAGCCACAATACAACCCTAATATACTACATGATTATTTCTACATTGCGTTTTCTTTTCAAAAGTGATAATAGAGAATTTACACTTTATTCGTTGCAAAACACATTCACCATAGTTTTCATCTTAACATTGAAAGGTTTTTCATCAACAAAAAGAAGGATACATAGTCATTAAACAGTGACGAATGTGTGTTTACGTTTAGCTCTCTCTCCCTCCCTCTCTGGGTGTGTGTGTGTGTGTTTATTGGTGGTTGGTGTTACTCAAATGAAACTTTCTTAGAGTAAAATTCAAACCCTGACAAGAAAACTGTTTACACCTATCTTAGTATACAACCCTAGATATTAGAAATAACAGTAAAAACGAATTGTATTGTAAATGACAGAGTAACTTATACACAGGCATATGTATACTTTGATTGTCTTGATGTTATTTTGTAGAAGAACAAATGAATAAGTTATAATTTAACAATTTTTATTTAACCAGAATAAGAAATGGCAACATGATTAAAATTAGAAATGGATAACATTTGATTTCAATTCGGTGACTTAAAAATTTAGCGTTTATCATAAAACCTAAAAGTTCATAACTCCGCCTGGAGCCCCTCTGGGGTTACTGCCGTTCCCAAGCCTAGATAAAGGAGGAGGGTTGGGCATGGGGTTAATAACCCCATCCCGTACAAAACTAACTCGCTAAAAAAACGCCAACAAGAACAAATTATTCAAACTATTTAATCTCTGCCCTGGGAGTCAGAAGGTCTTCTTTTAGAAGAGTTATGACACCTCATGGTGAAAGCCGAGTCCCTTCGGAAGTCACGAGGCCAATGCCCCTTCTGACAACCAGAGCAACCATTTAATTAGGTACATGGAATGCTCGTACAATGTGGGAGACCGGGAGAGTCATCCAAGTTGCTAATAGTTCATGATTCAATCTTTGGTTATGGTCATAGATCGGTACTGGATAAGGAGTCGCACAATAGGACATAACAGGTTTTCAGTACTTCCTGGTTTCCATCAGCTACATATAACTCAAGTTGTAATCTATTTAGCTTCATATCAATCGTTGATTTAGATCAATGTATAGACTAATAAATAGGAAATCTGAGAATGTTACGAAAACAAACAAACAAAGGAGTTAAGTAAAGCTTACCGCCATATACGGTTTACAACCGGCATCACGTGATCGAGCAATACTATCAACCAACTGACCAGATATACCAAAGTCACATAATTTCACATTACCGTTACAATCGATTAGAATATTTGATGGCTTTACATCTATATAGTCGACAAATGATGTACAAAATAAAATATTGTTATTTTCATGTGGTTTACATCACAAACTTACTATAGCCAAATAAAAATAGAAAACTAAGAAATGATAGAAAGATATTTTGTCCTAGTATCTGGCTCTTCAGTACCACGCATATACGACCCTATCACCACGGATAGAATTCTGGACATTAAGGCACCGTGACGAGTGCCTAACTATCAGGTCACTCAACTGGTATCCGATAATTTCAATGCCTAACCTAAACACGTTTGTGTTATTGCGCGATCATCATCTTATATGATAGGTAGGTAAACGCCTAATTTTCATAAATTACCTCTACATGTTAGTCAATAGTGAGCACATGATTGAAGTCGTAAATGTAAACCATGGTATACGTGTATAGTGATCTGATAGTTAGACTCTGTCCTTGGGTTCGATACCTGATAAAGTTGTGGATGCATGCCACTGAAAATTTCCATACTGAGATAAAACACTTGTCATGTGCTTGTTGATTTTTTATGTTTATCTCGGTACATTCAGTCTGTGAATGTAAACTACAAAAAATTCAACGATCTCTATAAATATTCTAAATTAGAAAAAACAAAATAATTAAACAGTGGACTGCTATACAATCTTACAATAATTTGCTTGTGGATTGGAAAGAATTGCCTAGAATAAAGTTCGGTGGAGAATTCAAATGGGCGACCTATGCTCCTCCTCCTCCCTCTTGAGGAGTAACAGGCGTAAGCAAGTAATTAAAATTAGACTATTCATTATATAGATAAATGTAATTGAGTATAATACAATTTAATTCTTAACACTTCGTTAGGAAAAGTAAACGTCTAAATTTTGACCCGATGATAAGTAAAGAAAATACTTAAATCAGTCATTATATTCATTAAACTTATATACATTAATGATGTAAACAGTGGTAATAGTTTGAAAATAGACAATTAACTTTATGGATTCAAATTACTTGAAGATCATTTTGAAAATCATGATATACGGAAGAAATGTGAACTAATGAATAAATACCCGTTATATTACTGAATGGTACTAGACTACCAAAGTTAAACACATGATTTATGGTAACAATCTAGTATACGATCTTAGGTAAACAATTTTACTAATAGAATTAAAATGATTATCTAATGCTTCTATGATATTTAATGATCTTATTGTGTTCTATGCATAATGAATACTCTTTAAGAAATGTAATTCATTGAATCAGATATGATGAAAACAATCATATATCGACATCAGTCAGTCAGTACGCTACAATGTAGAACCAGGTACATATATGTATCGGTCTAAGTTGCCATACCTCATTAGCACAGCAAGACGAACACCGGATTCATAGGAGTAGTTAAGTCAATGGTAGTAATATATAAAAGAAAAATTTCATACAAGGATATAGTACAGGAAGAGAGAATTAGTATGTAAAAAGAAAGATATGAAGTGATTTTGATATCATAGTTTAGAGGAAGACAGTGAGTGTATACACCTACACCATTGTGATCGATTCTAAACCATGTCACTCACGGTCCCCAACCATTGGTTACGATAGTCACGTGGACCCCAACAAGTAGTCTGGATCTACCAACATGGATCAGACTAGAAGTTAGTGACTTCAAGCACCGATACTACGTTTTGGTTTGGCCGCCCCTCACTTTCTTCCAATCATTCCCAACACCGGTTAGCATTACATGTCGTCTCACAAGGAGGGGTGCGGTTAGAAAAGGTCGACCCTAAAAATGCACACATCGCCTTAACCGACGGATATCCGTCTCCGGTGGTAAGGTCTCGCAACAAATACGGAGCTAACACAAAAATTACTCATAAAAAGGTCGTATGTGACCGACCTCAAGCAGTTGTCCCTTGGGCACTACGGTCACGCTGTCAGGTCACTAAGACCAACTCTAATCCAATTTCCTTTTCAGGTACCTCCAGAAGAACCCTTCCAAGGTGTGGGCAACCGGAAAGTGATAACCGCTCTCATACCTCTAACAGCACTCATATATCGAAAGATAAATAAGAACTATGAAAACGTAAAAGTTGATATAGAAAAAACAATCTAAGAAGCTTCCAACACCTACATGGATTGATCTAATAAAATAGACTAGTAAAAAGAAAAATGGTGAATCACTTGGCATATATTTCAGCACTTCAACTAAATTATTGTTGATCTTTATAAAATTATCAGAACTAAATGTTAACAAAAAAATAATTTAGAGATTTGATGTTAAAGCATAAACCTTTGTCTTATTAAGATAGCATAGTGTAAATAGAAAAAGTAACGTGTATATCAATCCCCTTGAAAACCTTTCTATACAAGACTAACTACTACTCATACTACAACCACTACTACTACTACTAATACTACTACTACTACAACTACTACTACTACTACTACTACTACTACTTCATGCTTACTTACCTCTGTGAATGACTTTAAGAGCAGTTTTCAAGTAATCAAGTGCTGAAACGGTCTTTTTATATATGAAAGAAAAGAAAAACAAAACAAAATTAGTAAGAAAACCCAAATAAGATAATGATAATAATAATAAGGGTTCTATTAAATGAATGATTAATTTATTTGAAGATGTTTCATGATAGTGAAGATTTGTAGCTCAGCCCCTGCCAGGGAAGTCCTACTCACAACATTCTCGTGGCACCGGTGTTGTTTACGAAATTGAGAGGACGAAAACCGAATGTTCGGCGCTTTAACCGGATCCCAAATCAATGGTGCACATGGGCTAACTCCAGTATCCTGAAGGAACAAATGGCGTATGAACCAATCGTTGGTCACCGGCTACCATGGGACTGCATCTCCTTACGATACTCCACTGCCTTGTGGGTCAGACGTTCAGGTCGAAGGCTCCGGTTGTGGCTCCCTAAGTAAACCACCTGCTTCGGTTTGAGCACCCGGGCAGTATCACAGCCCTCACACAAATCAATTGAGATTCGTGTGGCGCATATATATTTGGTGCCTTCTTGTACCGATATCTATGTGTTAAAATAATAATAATAGTTTAGTCGTGGAACTTTCATCGTTCATCTGAATGACATCATCAGTACAAACTTTAAGTAGAAATCTTCACGACCAAACTATCCAGTTCACAGAACAAAACTCAATCAATCAACAACAACAACAACAAAAAAAAGATGTTTTGTAGTGATTAATCACTGTTACAGTATCATTTTAAAATCAAAACAAAAACTAATGGAAAACTTCATTTCGTTCCAGTAGAGAATTCCTCAATAGTGAATACTTACAACTTGATCATGAATGGAATGTGTGACCTTCACATATCTTAATAAATGCTTAATCACTTATACATAGATAATTATGATTATTTTGTTTCTATGCAAAAACAAAAGAAAATGTGATTCATTTTCAATAGTTTGAATTTTTTTTTGGTGTTGTTATGTAAGATATTAACTATTTAACTGATTAATCAAATAGAATAAAAAGTTTTCTACTAATAGATCTTAATTCATACATTCAAGTGATTTGAATGATCTGATTGTATAATTTATTCTATTAATTAAACTAATCAGTCATTAATTCACTTGATATTGTTGTTTTATTTGAATCTTCTCATTGATGTTTAGGACTGAAATTGATCAGTCTCTCTTATTGGCATATGTGAATACTGTGCGTATTACCTAGATATTGCCTTAATTTACATGCATTATAAGCAAAGATGGATAGTGGCTAGCAGTGGAATCCATCTTTGTTTATAATGCTTGTAAATTAAGCCAATATCGAGGCATACGCACAATATGCACATATTGCCAATAAGAGAGACTGAACAATTTCAGTCCTAAACATCAATGGGAAGATTAAAATAAAACAATATCAAGTGAATTAAACTTCACCCCATTGCATAAGCAAGTGGCTATCAGGACCCAGTAGCTAAGTGAATAACGCGATGGCGCTTAAAGCGAACGGTACTGGATTCGAGTCCTGGAGTGGGCATCAACTCTGAGATGTAGGTACATCCAGCTGACGAGTCCCAAATAGGACGAAACGCGCGTCAAACTGGATTCCACTGCTAGCCACTATCCATCTTTGCTTATAATCAGTCATTATTCTATTGTAAGTTTAAGTTAATTAAAAGTGACAAAGAATTTTGAAACATTCTTTTTTTTTACTAACTACGAGTTCCTTTTGGAGTATACCATGTTAATTATTATCTTTTTATGATGAAACACAGGCTAATCAGAGGATGGAGTCATTATAGGAATCATAGTTTTTGTCAATTCTTATTGTCTAATACACTTTACTCGTATTATCAAATGCCTTAGTACAGCTGAGAGTGGGCAAAGTCAGTTCTCCATCTCCAAATGCTCTCACATGGCCACGTGTATATAACTACTAATATAGAAGTCCTAATCACTGCGATCTCGAGGCACTGATATTTTTTACGAAATTAAAAGGACGGAAAGCGAATATTACACGCTTTAACCAGGTTGATGGACACAGAGAATCTACATAGGAGATTTGGAAAGCCCTGATTCCAAACCAATAGTGTACATGGACTCCGAGATCCTGAAGGAACAAGTGGTGTATGAACCTATTGTTAGTCACCGGCTACCATGGGACTGCATCTCTTGACGTTGTTCCACTGCTTTGTGGTTCAAACCTTTAGGTCAAAGGGTCGGGGTGTGGCCCCCTAAGCAAACCATCTGCTTCAATTTGGGAAGCCGGACAGTATCCCAGCCATCACACAAATCGAATGATTTATGTGGCGTATATCTATTTGGTGCCTCCTTGTACCAATATTTATGTGTTTAAATAAATAAATAAACTCGGTGGTATTAAGATTAAAACGGAAGTATTCACCATAAAGAACATACAATGAGATATGAAGAAAAACAAAAAAAATCGATCCAATGAAAAGTTTTCCTTTGTAGTGAAGATGTATCCTCAAATAGGGTACATTTACAAATATATACCTATCTCTAAAGTAATCAATAATATATACGTTATATCACAATGAATTACAAATGACCCTTCAATAGTGTAATGATATTGTCTAGGTCATTTTATTAAATTTATTGAGGTAAATACCATAGTTAATTATCAGTTATGATTCTTGTATAATACAAACTAGGAAATACCTTTTTCTTTATTTCACAGTTACTTATTTGAAACATTATGAAACTTCAATCATTAAGATCATGAGTCAGTTGAAGCTAGACCAGCATGAAAAACCTGGAAGCACTGGACGACCGTTTCGTCCTATTGTGAGACTCCTCAACTGACTCATGATCTTAATGATTGAAATCACTACAATCTCCAAAAAACCCATTTTGATAATTATGAAACTTATTAAAATAGGACATATCATGTGAATAAAAACAATTTAGCTTATAGAAAATAACCGACAACTACTACTTTGATCTTTAATTAAGTAAACAAATTAATAATTATCATTAAATTATTTACTACACATAGTTCCCTTTATTATTTTAATGAGTGTAAAAACAAAAGATTGATGAAGTATTCATGATTCTTTTCTTAATGAAATCAGTTAAGTTTTTATTTTTTTTATTTTTATTTTTACTTTTTTCTAATTTGAGAATTTTATGTGATTACTCAAAATAGACTTCATCTTAGAGACATTATCCATTGTGTTCATTAAAACAACACTTGAACCATTATATCATTATATCATTATTTCGATTAATATTTCATAATGCTATTAGATGATTTTTGGATCAAAGTTTAGACTGTAGTGTAGATGAAACAAGATATTGGTTTGTGATATCGACTAGTTTAGATTTAAAACCAACTTTTATTTTCTTCACTATTATATCTACAAAATTATTTTCTTGATATACAGTATATAGCTGAGCACTAGAACACCAAAACCCATCCAAGTCGCAAATGAGAAGATAGAAGACTAATAAAAGGAATATTATTTCAAACATTGTCAATTGTAGTACAAAATTGTCAGGTATTTATAATTTTTTAGTAAGAACGAAATCATCATTACAGTCCTCCAATTTGCATACAGGCAGTTATTAGACTTGTCCAATCACGAAGCTACACGCAGGAATTCTTGAATATTCTTCCAAAAGGTGATTGAATGGAATATCTCCGGCTACTTCTGAGACTTTTACAGCTTCCTAAAGTTTACCCGTGGTCAGTCGTCACGTTCACTAACTGGGTACAACTCTTTAATTTCATACAATGAATCTTCAAATTGAGTTTCTGTGTCGATTCTATCGTTATGTTTTTTTGGTGATTTTTTGTGATTCTTTTCTCAGTGGAATCAGTTAAGTCTTTGTTACTTTTTTCTAACTTGCACCAATCATTGTTGTTTTAATAAAACCAATTCACAAGAATAATTCAGTTTTATACCATAAATCTAATCTATTATTTGTATTACCTCAAGAGTATAATATGATAAAAGTATGATTTATTATTTAGGACTCAGTAGCTAAGTGGATAACGCGGTGGCGTTTGAAGTGAATGGTACTGAGTTCGAGTCCCAGAGTGGACATCAACTCTGAGATGCAGGTACATCCAGCTAACGAGCCCCAAATAGGACGAAACGCGCGTGCTGGATTCCACTGCTAGCCACTATGATTTATTATTTATTTAAACACATAAACAACGGTACAAGGAAGCACTAAATAGATATGCATCACATAAATTATTCGATTTATGTGTAGGCTGAGATACTGTCCGGGTGCCCAAATCGAAGCAGGTGATTTTCTTAGGGGGCCAAACCGGGAACCTCCAACCTAAGTGTATGATTGTTATATCTCGAGGTTATATTCTTGATATGCCGCGTATGACTTGAGCACTCGAACGTTAGAACCCTACCAAGTCGTAACTGAGAAGACAGAAGACAAGTAAAGGGAATATTATTCCAAACAGTGTCAATTATGGTACAAAACTGTCAGGTATTTATACATTTTAGTAAAAACGAAATCGTCATTGTAGTTACCCAATCCGCACACAGGGGGTTATTAGCATTGTCCAATAGGGAACCTACAAGTAGTGATTCTGGAATAGTCTTTCAAAAGATGATTGGATTAAATATCTTCAGCTTTTTCTAAGCTTCTTAGAGCTTCCTCGAGTTTACCCGTGGACCGTCCTCATACTGATCCACAATGCAGTGGAATAACGTCAGAAGATGGAGTCCCATGGTAGCCAGTGACCAACGATTGGTTGGTACACCATTCGTTCCTTCAAGATCCTGGGGCCCATGTGCATCGTTGGTTTGGAATCAGGGTTTTTTAACTTCCCGAAGTAGACTCTCCGTGTTCACCAACCCGGTTAGGACGCCAGACATTCGCTTTTCGCTCTCCCAATTTTTTAAGCAACACCCCTGTCTCAAAAAGGCAGTGAATAGGACTTTCCTAGCAGTGGTTATATGTACTTGACCATGTGAAAGCATTTGGAGATGGAGAATGGACTCTCCTTATCCTCGGCAGTACTTGGGTATTCGCAAGTTGAATTGATACAAAATGCGATATTGAATATTTTGTACTGAAGATTATTTAAGGTTATCAAACATGTGATAGTGATTGAGTAAAATACATATTATGTTTATCATAATATTCAAAAGTCCAATAGTCAAAGAGTTAACATGAATACTATTATAGTAAGCCTATTCAACTATTGTATTATTTGTCTGATCATTGTAATTTAGTTTTTTTTTATTTTATTTCAACACACAGATATTGGTACAAGGATGCACCAAATATATATGCGCCACACAGATCTCATTTGATATGTGTGAGGAATGCGATACTACTCGGGTGCCCAAATCGAAGCAGGTGGTTTTCATAGGGGGGGCCACACCCCGAGCCTTCGACCTGAACGTCTGACCCACAAGGTAGTGGAGCATCGTGAGGAGATGCAGTCCCATGGTAGCCGGTGACCAATGATTGGTTCATACACCATTTGTTCCTTCAGGATACTGGAGCCCATGTACACCATTGGTTTGGGATCCGGTTAAAACGCCAGACATTCTGTTTTCGTCACGAGAAGGCAGTGAGTAGGACTTCTTTGGCAGAGGCTGTGTACGCATGGCCATGTGAGAGCATTTGGAGAGGGTGAGCGGACTCTCCCCAATCTCGGCCGTACCAGGGCATTTAGGGGTACTGTGATTTAGATACTCAATCCACTGTATAAATTTGTATATGAGTTTGATTGAGCTGAGAGCGATCTACACATTAATCTTTAATTTATCCACGATCGATTAACACTCATTAATATACATGGATTTTTTAACACAAATTCATATTCACTTGATTTCTTTGTATGTTTGCTTCCTGCACCCTTGCGGATTTTTACTAATCTTTATCCATAAACTATCTCTACAACTGGTGTTCAGGCTTTTGAATAATCTCAAGTAAACCCATAATTCTACTAAGAGATTTAGCCTACATTAAATACTCAATTAACGGGATATTATTATTCATTAGAGTCAGATATAGAGGATACCAACCTCTACACCATTATAATTTATAACAAACGATTTGTGTTCACTTCTAAGAAAAACAAAACAAAACAAAACAAAACAACATTGAATAACTTACTTTGATATTCAATAAAGTATATTATAAATCATAGATCACAATTAGGTAACATTAAGAGAAAAGGGATAAATAATCCGATCCTTTAATATAAGTATATAAGCATAAAACTTACAGCTGTAGTAATTTTTCCAATAATACTTTCAGGAATTCTTGATTGTAAATAATTATAAACAAATTTATAAAATTTATCTAATGATGTTGACATCATTTCCATACATATCCAACAATCACCTTCTGTAAATATTGCACCATAGAATAAAACAATATTTGGACAATTTGCTGAATTCATAACAACATCTAAATCTTTTAATGTATTTCTTTGTTCACGTTCATTTAATGTTGAACGTATTCTCTGTAGAATAATACAAAAAAAACAACAACAACAAAGGAATAATAATAATAATATATACATTACATCACAGTTATATAATATACCCTTGTGGGCCAGGGTAATTTTACATGGGTTTTCAGGAGAACTAGACACCATCCAGACTTTCATGTGACAACCCAAACAGTACAGATCGACCCCGTTTAACAGGAGAGCCAGACACTGCCCAGGTTTAAATTTTATAAACCGAGCAGTACAACTCAATCCCGCTTCATAGGATGAATAACAACTGGAAAGAGCTGGAAAGGATTGGATGAAGAATGCTGGTGAGAGGCCTATGCTCCTTCACAAGGAGTAATAGGCGTAAGTAAGGAGTAAGTAATATTACATGAATAAAACCTCGAGGACCAGTCAAGTGAAAAAATGTGTCTAAAGAATACTAAGCAATAAGAATAGCTGGATCGAATAATGTTATATATAACTGTGACGATAGGGAAAAAAAAGGGAAACCAACTGAAGATACATATATCAGATGATCACCTTAACCGAACTGTATAACAGTAGCAAGTATAATTTAATTCACAAACTCAGTTGTTATAAACTCTGACACGTATTCACTGTTCGAGTTCATATGCTATGTGAACTACTTCTTGTGATACAGTTGCCAGAAGTATTTCAGAATTCATTTATAACCCTGAAAGTCGGAATACCATCTTCAAGTAATTCAACGATTGAGAAGATACAGTCACTCAGCTACAACATAGAACCAGACATATATATGCATCGGTTTAAGATGCAATACTTTATCAGCACAACAAGATGAACATTGAATTTACAGAAGCAATTACTTAGAGTAGAATTCTGAAAACAAGATGGCGTCTGGAAGACTCGATTGTTGATGAGGAAGTTGGGAAGAAGTGAATATACACGCTACGTTGACCACTCACTGCCGAGGTTATTACGAAAGCTTAGTTTCGAAGAAATAGTAACTCAACTGTCAGATACTTTTGGTGAATCGTCTTCATTGTTTAGTATTTGATATTAGTTTCTAGATTTGATGAGACGTGAAGATGGTGGTTATAGTGCTCTGGCGAATGTCGTCAACAGCGAATGTGGACAGTCCAAGTTGCGCTTATTGACGGAGGACCAATTGAAATACCTAAAATTTATCAAAGCTCTTCAGTCATCACAAGATGTTGAGATTAGGACTAGATTTTTCACTCGACTAGGTTACACTCAGAACACTGCCAGATGAGTCTAAACGGCCGAAGAACATCAGTCACGACAATAAATCAATTAAACACGCATATCCGAATTTAACCAGCAGTAGTGTCAATGTTACTACTAGGTCAAAACCTCAGAACCCAAGGACACTGGAGACAACTCATAACAAATCAATGACTGCCTGTTGGTTATGTGGTGGTTGGAATTATACACGATTCTGTCCATTTAAGAAGTATAAATGTCAGATGCTCAGCAGAGGCGGACATAAAAAAGGCTATTGTCCAATGAATAGTACGTCCCAAACTAAGGAGAAATATAAACTTCTTCGACACATGGTGAAGTCAGCCGAGTCCTAATCACTTCCTCTAGTAGCAGCTTTTAGAACACACTATGACATTCGGAGGAAGTGTATTACTATCCTAACTAACGGCACGTCAACGTTTCTTCAAAATGACACGGCATCCGATATGACCCTGATGTCTAGAGGAACGTATGAACTTCATGGGAGACTAGCAAAGAAAACACCTAAGAAGACAGGTAAAATGCATCAGAGAATGTGTTAAAGCCTGTTGGTGAACAACAGTATGAATTTTCTTACAGCCGAATTAATTCTAAAGGAATATGTTCTCTAAAAGACTGACCAAACATTGGTCTTCTTGGTCAGAAAAATTCCGAATATTGGATAAATCAGTCAACCGTGTCTGTAATGCGCTGTGCACACTATTAAAAATTCCAATATCTGAAACAAAGACGGGTGGAAGGGAAAAATTTGCTCCTGCCTTTTCAGGTTGACTATGTTTACTTCACCATGGTGAAAGCTCATTTACCAGTGTCATAAGACGAAGTAAGAGAAGAATATCCCCAAGACCCAGTCCTACAATAAATTAAAAAGTTCCACCTAGAAGGATGGCCCTCGAAGATCTGCTAAGCAGAGCTCCAGCAGTTTTAAGGACGCAGACTACGTGCTTCGATCTCAAAATTTTTTGGCAGTACGGAATCAATCATTTTCGAATGCCTCCATCCCATCCTCAACCCAATAGTCAAGTAGAATGGTTTGTTGGTACATTTAAAAACGTTCTGTAGAAATCAAAAGGGGAGGAAACCACGGGGAAGGTTTTAGGGAGGTTCCTAATCATCTATCGTCCTAACCCAAATCCTCAAACAATTAACGGAGTCTCTACAGCTGAAACTTTACTTGACAGGAAAATACATAAACATTCAGATGCTATTCGTCTTATCCTAGACCTTGAGCCTCAACAAAACCGATCGATGAAGAGACACTTCAATTGACATCATGGGTTAAAAAGATGATTTCTCACTATGGGTCAAAAAGTACTTGTTATGGACTGTAGTGGCAAACATCCTACATGGATGTTTGGCTGGTCAAGCCATGCAAAGGGAAGGAAATGGGTTATCAAGTGGATCAGAAGTTTGGGTACGTCATGCTAACCAATTGAAAGCAACTTCGATTGCCAGTAACGAGAACCGACATATATTACATCTTGATGTTCTGCTGGACACCTGTGAAATCGAAACCCCTAAAACAGATAGGTCAGTCTCTGTGCAAGCAGAGTGACACCAGTTCTTTATTTCCCAGAACGTGAACAAACAGAAAGCACACACGAATCACATGGTTACAAGTGGACACTAACACCAGGTCCAATAAATCTACTAAAAAGGGAGGTATTAGATGAATATAGATTGGATTAATGCATTTTCTATGCAGGATTGTGTTGAAGCACGTTGACTGTACATTTTTTAATCAAACACCGCTAGCAAATACTTGAAGAAGACTAGAAAATTCTCGTGTAAAATCATAACTATACTAACGTTTTTCTTATTGTGATTCTTAATCCTATCCAACTTTGTTTATTTGGAATATAATTACGTTTTTATATGGGAACTAGTTGAGTGAAGTAAGGTGTTCGAAAAATGTCAAGCAATGAGGATAGCTGGGTCGTGTAAGGGATATTTCAACGAATGCATTGAAATATTTTTAAAACAATAAGATTTTCATTGTCACAACATGACTAACGTGTTTTTTACTAGGATAAACAAAGTACAAATAAAGAAGAGTGATTGTTCTACAATGAAATCGAATTTGATAAAATTCGTGTTTTATTTTCTGTTTTTTCGACAAAATAGAGTTTAGTATTTGGCAATATTTGGTAATGTAGCTTATGATTCTAATTGTGCAATAGAATCTAATCTTCGTCTTTCCGTTAAATATTGAACATTAATATGACTCGAAATCTTTCATTCTCATTTTTCGATGTTTAGTTTGGATCGTTGTTGTAGTATGATTTTTACGCTCTTCATTTTTTATCTTGTCAATTTTTTTTATTAATTTCATGTGAAGCGTAATAACTTGGATTGATACTATTCAGCTTTGTGTTCTGCATCATTTATGACTGATTGACAGGTTTATCCACTAGGTTTTTAGTTAAATGTTTTGTATTTCAGGGTTTATGATACTAACAGACTGTCAAAATCAAAGTGGGTTGAGCGACTCTTGAAACTGAGCACTTTAAATACACCCGACCACTGATTTATAACTACTCATCTACAGGAGAATAAAATCCTGATTTCATAAATATATACGTTGAACAAATATTCTAAGATCTAAAAGAGATTAATGGTACATCTGATTGTAATTATCATTAGAGATCATGGGAATGCTTCAAGTCATATAATTTTGTATCAGGCAGTATATCTTTGTGTGAAGTGCAAAAACTAATCATGAAAAAAAATGGAGAAAAGAACTTATCAGTCATATATATATATATACCTTAACTGCCATAACTGTTTTCGTAGGTCTATGAACCATACGATTAACAAATCCATATGCCCCTCGACCAATTTCTCCTTCATCCATAAGATCTTCAGTTGAAAATTTCTAATTCGAAAAAAAGACGAAAAGTATAAAAAAGTGGAAATAAATCCGAACAGCACATATATGTGGATAAAATTGCTTTTGTGAATAACTGTCTCACACCTAACATGAGTAGACTCCACTGGTCACAGTATCCGACCGGAAGTCCAGGAATTACTTCTCGAAATAAGTCACTAGTGATCACATAATTACTACCATTGAAGGTAGTTTGTGTAGATGGTTGAATTTCACGGTCTGCATCAAGTTCTGACCTCATTTATTTATTTATTTTAACACAGATATTGGTACAAGGAGGCACAAAATACATATGCGCCACACAAATCTCATTTGATATGTGTGTAGGCTATGATACTGTCCGGGTGTCCAAACCGAAGCAGGTGGTTTTCATAGGGGGCCACACCCCGAGCCTTCGACCTAAAGGTCTAACCCACAAGGCAGTGGAGCATCGTGAGGAGATGCAGTCCCATGGTAGCCGGTGACCAACGATTGGTTCATACGCCATTTGTTCCTTCAGGATACTGGAGTTAGCCCATGTGCACCATTGGTTTGGGATCCGGTTAATGCGCCGGACATTCGGTTTTCGTCCTCTCATTTTCGTAAACAACACCCAGGCCACGAGAATGCAGTGAGTAGGACTTCCATGGCCTGACCTGAGTTATAGAACTACCGGAAGCCAGGAATGATTAGAGAGATACTTAATCCTAATATGGGGCATCTTAGTAGCGGGCATCAACGACCCCACCTCCAGAATAGTGAGTTAGTATTTAATAGTTTACATCATCAACTTCAGTCATGTGCTCACTGCTGACTGAATTCAAGATATAATTTCCTAATTTTAGTGAGTTATGACTAGTGGAGAATAACAATATTTCTTTAAATTAGATTTCCAGAAAGTTTTACTCTAAGATACAATAATATCTATGTGTATACATTGAAAATATAAGACTAATCAATGCGATTTATCAGTCAATGGTAACAATGGAAAATGACTACATAAATACTAATAATAAGCAAAAATATATGTCGATTGTAAGGTGATAGACATAGAAGCATAATTATAATAAATAATAAGACAACATGAATAAATATATGAATATGGTAAAAGTAGATTAAAGCCTTTAAAAACAATTTATCTAATATAATCAATCCTTAAAATTACGCAATATGAAGTGTATGAGAATAGTCAACTTAAAAAAGCACATCATAGAGTAGAAAAGAGAAACAAAGAAATAATAGGAAGAATTAGATGATATTCTTTATTTAGTCTTTCTCTGGTTAACAAAAAAGAATATAAGATATTATGAACTTTTCTGAAACATATAGACTATGAACGTTAGCTTAAATTCCTATATGAAGTCAATTTGAATTGACATACCAAATCTTGACAAATATTTGGAATGGTTAGCTTTCCTTGACATGAATGATATTTACATTCCCTAAAGTATGAAAAAGAAATAGAACATTGAGAAATAAATGAAGTAGTAATAAAAATCTATGATATTTATTATTTTTTATTTATTTATTTTAACACATAAGTATAGGTACAGGGAGGCACCAAAATACATATGCGCCACACAAAGCTCAATTGATTTGTGTGAGGGCTGTGATACTGCCCGGGTGCCCAAACCGAAGCAGGTGGTTGTCTTAGGGGGCCACACGCCGAGCCTTTGACCTGAACGTCTGACCCACAAGGCAGTGGAGCATCGTGAGGAGATGCAGTCCCATGGTAGCCGGTGATATTAATAATCACAATAATAATAACTATCGTTATCAGTAATACATTAAAGGAATATATTTTGAAAAGTAAAACACAACAATAATACTAACGATGTTAATAATCCTTCGGACTTCAATTGTCCCAAAGGTGATCTGCCAATAAGTTGAGGTCGACAAGACATTGTTTGTATAATATCAAATCTTTTTTCCTGCTATCTAATATTCTATGAAAATAAATGAAATTTTTAACAGAAAAATTGTAATTACTTGATTCCTTTTATGAGTTTACTGTTCGATTATAATAAACTATCATTACAGTCAACATACACATACATCGGTATTTTTTAAACTGATTTGAAATACTTATTCGATCATTCAAAATGAAGTTGATCTGTTTACGCCCTCTAAACAAAAAAAGGTAATGTGGATTCATAAAGGAAACTAAGTACAAGTATTGGGAAATATGCAACAAATAAACATGAGAAAAGAACATGTATAACAAACTGTTGTTTGTCAGAAAACCAATGGGACTGTTATCGACTTATAAGATATGAATCTATAATTAATATCATCCCACTATTTCATATCATTTCTTGTCATGGACTTTAGTTGTGTACTTGTGAAATCACATTGTCCATTATAGTTGGATAAATTTACAAACAACTGCATAGATCCATACACTTTAACAGCTGGAAATTTTATTTAAACCACTGACCAGGTACCGATTCGTGTACTTGACCTTAAGCTGAACTAACTTTAAGGACATGTGATACATTATCCAGTTTCCCAAATTGAAGTAAGTGGAGTAATATTCAAACCTGCGGCTTAGCGGCTGAAAGTTGAACGCCTTATCCATTAAGCTACCGCAATAATAACATACGAGAAAAAGACAAATAGATGAAACATTGACCTTCAAGCTAATTAGTAGTAGACAATGGATTAAAATAAACGCTTGGAGATACTGAAAGCTTGAGAAGTGGTAGATTACTGGTAAATGTACTCGGATTTCGAGTATAGGCCCTCAGATTTAAGGTCTCCTGCACTTAGTTTGATTTAAGCAGTCAGTTAGATTTACCGGCGAGACTCTAATTTAGGGACGAGCCAATCAGAAGCGTTTGAGCCGTTTAAAGGTCACAGAGCCAAGTTTAACACCTGATGCTCTCATATGATCGGTTTACAGCGGATTTTAGAGAAGGGATGATTATTGAGAGGCTACAAGGGATAGGATTACTAAAAAGTTCTTGTACGTGAGACTGCGGTTATCAAATGACTGCAGTAAAGTGTGCAAATAACCGTGGTGAGATTATATTTCGTTGTCCTTCATGTTGGAGGAGAAAGTCTGCTAGAACGGGGACTTTCTTTGCTCGATTGCTACTGAAACTCAATCAGATTATGATAATAGTTGCAAATTGGGTAATAAATACACCAGTAACACTGGCTGCGGCGTTTGCAGTTGTTTATGAAAATTCAGCAGTCCAGTGGTATGAGTACTGCCGTGCAACTAAAATAACACGTATACACCAATCATTCGGAGGAGTAGGATGTATCGTGCAGACAGATGAAACGGCAGTGAGAAAGCGAAAATACAACAGGGGACGTAGTATAAAGTAGGATTGTGTAAGTAGCATTTCCGTAAATATACTCGAAAGGTACTTGGAATTTATGACTTTTTATACCGTATGCAATATGATTTCAAAACATCTGAAACTTTAGCAAACCTTGATAAGTTTTTAAATCACGTGAAATAAGTATATTCACTGTAATCCATTAGTTTCTTCTAATATATTTCTACGTTATACTAGGTGTCTTTTGATTGGCTATTATTCTCAAGGTCACTCAAAATCCGTTCAAAGGTCGTCCCTAAATTAGTCTCGCCGTTTGTGCATCTAGGTAGCTGAAAAAGTGCCGTCGTGAACGTGAGTGATGGAATAAATTCAAGTATAATGAGAGCCAGAGCGGTTTATTCCAATCTGGCTCACCGTTGGCGCCTTCTTAGTGTTAATGTGGCTAGGAAAGTTATCATTTATGGCTCAGAATAAAAACCAGTGGCTTATGCTACTACAAACAATTCGGGCCTTGTTACCAATGGTTTTACTCTATTGGTCACTATTATTTCGAGGGCACAATTGGGAGATCGGAATGCAAACTAATGCTTGATGACGGTTAGACTAAAAGTAATGGAAGAATTTTAGGGAACACCAGAGTGACCTTGAGAGAAATCAACTACTTACTGCGGCCCCGAACGGGTTATAAATTCGTGGGAGATTAGAATAAAAGCATGGAGTTAAAAACTATGGTAAAAGTTTTCGTCAAAAACTGACGTCAGCTATAATGCCAAAACGTTGTCTAGACCATAACCCTACTTTTACTATTAACTCAATCTTATACCTGACATCAACTTTAAAAGTAAACGTATGAACAAGCCTAGTAAATGATACTCGATTCCACCCCACAGTGGAAACTCTAGCCCGAGTCCGCAATCTTGACTCAACCCCAACTTAACTCATCGTTTCTAACACTCACATTTCGCACTGTGGATGATGAAGTTGGTGACGAGAAAACTTTATAAGGTCATAGGCCTTACTCACAACACAAGTATGATTCCTATTATTTAGAGCGAACCTTGTTCTACAAATATGATGAATAACTCAGAATGTGAGGGTTAGTTAATCACACCATAAGTGCAACATAACTACACATAACAATTGTCGCGGAATGTCGTTGCTATTTCTCAGTTTTTTTTCAGCTAAATGGCGTTTCATGATTAGCTGATAAGTCCTTCAGTGTAGTATATTTTCTTGTGTCGACATATCATATACTTATGTTAGCTACTACTGAATTAATAGGTTTTTTAACAGCCAGGTCCAGTCAAAAACGAAATATAACTGCATTTTTTAAACTAATTAAAATGCATAGTGTCATGATAATAGAAAATACAACAATTAAAACTGCAATTTTGAGTGAGTTACTACGCTCACCAAACTAACAAGTACCGCAAGACCTGTAAATACCTCCATTCAACAAGTAGTGCAGTTGTTCAAATGGACTGAATAGAAGAAGCCTTCACTTAACGGGCTTTTGAACCTAGTATCGGTGGACTGCCGATGCTTTCAGGTGGGAATTTAGGTATATTGTCGACAAAAGGGGAGAAAGAATAAGAGTTCGTAAATCATAATGAAATACTTTCCTTAATTGTTAAAAATATGTCAAGTTTTCTCTTAAAGGGATTCTGCAAAGTTGCTTGGACTGACTCAGCTGGAAGCAAATTCCAGCTCTTGACCACTCTTTAGGAGTAGAAGGTGTGCCTAAAGTCCATTCTGCTGTGTTGTGTCTTCAGTTTTTGTGTGTTACCTCTAAAGTTTGTGTTGAGACTAAGCCTAAGTAGGCGTTCAACGGGATGTCCAGTAGTGTTAAGGATTCCGTAAGTCATTGGAAAGTCACCTCTGAGACGCCTATACTATAGTAGGTAAGGGTTCAGTGATTGGATGCACTTTTCACAAGACTTGAACATGAGCGACCGAAATGATTTCTTTGGATCCTTTCCATAGTGTCCTTATCTTTTTGGAGTGAGGAAATATTATGTTTCCGTACTCTAAATGGAGACGAACAAAACTGTTAAAGTTTATGTGGACGGTTCTTCTGTTGAACTGGCCGAAGTGACAATAGTGTTACCACCACAAGGTTTTTTTGAAAGGCATTTTTGTTACAATTAGTACAAGACTTCAGATCGTAAGGTACCAACAATCCTAGTAATTTTTCAACCTGAGAGTCCAATAGGCTAGAGTTACCCAAGTTGGAGTTTTAGTCTGAGACATGTCTCAGATGGACAACTCTACGTTTCGAAGTGTTAAAGGTAAGTCCGTTGTCATCCGCTCAACTTTGAAAATCAGTCAGATCCTCCTGACGTGCCTGTATATCCCCTTGATTGCACGCTCCCCTCCAGAGTTTCACGCCACCAGTAAAAAGTAACAAATCTGATTATGCCTGTCGTAGAAGATCGTTTACATAAATTAAGAAGAGAAGAGATCCTAGTACTGATACCTGAAGGAACCCACTAGGACATTCCATAGTCTGAGAGAAGGTGAAGTTAATCCTTGCCCTAAACTGACGATTTTTCAGGAATGAAGTGAGTCAATCAATTAAAGTTGACTTAATACCTAATCATTTGAGTTTATTGATAAGATATATATGGTTGACCCTATCAATTATTTTTCAGAAGTCCAGGTCAATCATGTCAACCTTACCCTTGCGATCAACGATGGTTGTCCATCTGTCCACCGCAGTCAGCAGGTTAGTTATACAAGAATGACCCTTCCTGAAACCGTGCTGTTGGGGTGAAAAGAAGTTTAAAGATATTAAATAGTCGTGTATGCCATCGCATATCAGAAACCCCATAACTTTTTAGGGTATGGAGGGAAGGGTCACTGGTCAGTAGCTTGAAGTTTCACTGCGTCGACCTTCTTTGATAATTTGTGTGATGTGAGCCAGCTTCCAATTTTCTCGCAACGTGCCTAAGCTTAGCGAGTTTGAAAACGTCTAGCTAAACAGTGTCGTCAAGATTGAAGCCACTTACCTTAGTACAGCAGTTGACAAGCCAGGAGAGGTGTCCTTGTTTAGTTGCTGTAGTTTACGATACGCCTAGTCGGCCCTCTGGTTCACTTCCGGAAGTCCTGTGGATTTCCAGGTGAAGCTCTCATCAATGTAGTTAGCGTGTGTTGGTTGGAATGTCTGAGAGTACTGCTCTGTCAGGTCGGTAGCGTCACCGTAATTGCTAATTAAGCCGTCAGAACCTAGAAGTTTGGAAACTCCGTTTCTGGCTTGTCGAAGAGGAGATGCATGACAGAATAAGCTCCTCGGATTGGAGACAAATCTGTCGATTAGCTTTATCTGATAATGAAGCCTATATTTTCTTGTTACCTTTGTACGTATGTTCTTCACTTGCTTTTATTGCCTGTATGAGCCGTTGTAACCAGTTCGTTTGTACTCAAAACATTACTAACTTTTGTGTCCCAGCGAACGAAGAGTAGAATTCTTGATGATTGTGGGTTTCTTGTACATTTTGAGGACCGTTCACCGAACAGACTACTTTATAGCATATAATAAAAAGAGCAGAAAGAGATCAAAATGAGTATCAATATCAAGTTTAGGGGGGACTTCCCAGTCCACCTGATGTTGATTGTCCTGTAAAGCCGACACATTCAACTGTTTGAAATTTCAGCGCATATTGTCAGTAGGATGTTTAGACTCAGTTTTTTTGGTAGGTTTGAAGGCTATGATGGTATAATCACTTTCATCACGAAGATTCAAGAATGACGGGTTGTTAATTAGGAATTCACCTAGATCTTCAATGAGGTTGAATAACCGACCTTCTGTTGAGTCTCCATCACTAGTGTACATGTGTTCAGCGAGGTTGACTTTAGAAAGGTTGAAATCACCTATAATCAGGGTATAAGTGTATCCGAGACGAGTACAGTGGGATCCTCCTTCCAGCACACTATTGTCATACTCGACGTCAGTGGGCTTCCCTTGGATGACTCCGACTAGACACCACGAGATGTTAATCAGTCTTACTGGGCGCCATACAGATTCATCAAGATTAATAAACTCTTGAGTGTGCACTTGATGTGTTGCCAGGCAAGATCGCAGGTGGAGGGCTCTCCTCTTTCCATTCCAGCTTATCTATCGTCGCAAATCAAGGACATGACGGAGCATATTCATTGAAGACAAACAAGTATACGAAGATCCTCAACTTGTTACGGAACTATTTAGTGAACACTTTTGTTTCTCACTAACTAACAAAACACCACTAAACGATTCAGAACTAATCCCAGTACCTCCCTGTGAAATTACTAATGTAGACTTCAATTTACAAAATATCCCTAAGGCAATTAGTACATCGAAACACTCCTACACTGATGGACCAGATGGTATTCCAGCTACCATGCTAAAAGGTGGAGGTGATGATATGTGTTTTTTGCTTCTCAAACTATTTGCGATATCACTCTCTACAGCGTGTTTCCCTACTGCCTGGAAAACTACACATATCATTCCCAAAATTAAAACAGGACCTGAAGCAAATGTTGACAATTACCGACCCATAAGCATAACTTCAGTAGTATCTAGAGAGATGGAAAAAGTAGTTAAGGCGGCTTTAGTCCAACATCTACCTACCAATAATCTCATCTCGACCTCCCAGCATGGATTTCTTAGGTCAATATCATGCGATAAAAGCCTAGTAGACTACTTGAATGATATAACTCTGAAAAGAGACAACGGACTCCTTGTATCAGTCCTATACTTAGACTTTAAGAAAGCCTTTGATAAAGTCCCACATAAAATGCTTCTCGTCAAACTAAAGTCCTTCGGAATAAACGATCCACTGTACTCACGGTTCGCTTCGTTCTTAACTGAACGTAAACAAATGGTAAAGTACAATGACTGTCTCCCATCACCTAGACCAATAACTAGTGGAGTCATCCAGGGAAGCGTATTAGACCCATTCTTGTTTCTTATGTATATAAACGATATATGTAACACCATAACATTTGGGAAACCATACTTATATGCTGATAATCTTAAAATAGTATACAGCTATAAGCCTGAAACCCTAAGCGAGGGAGGGTGGCGTTACTGACCAGCAAACATGATGGTGGGGAGATAAATTCAATCCACCCATGTCTGTAGGGCAGAACATTTTGTTAAATTACGGCCCCTTATGATCTAGTGGAATGTCACGAACAAATGGTATTGATGCGAATTTATCATACAAAATACTTCATTAAATCGTATTTAGAATGTTGAATTGCTTTTACTTCCTATCCAGTAATCCTATTACAAGCAAACTAGACAATTCGCTAAAAAACGAAGCCTACTCAAGACCCTATGAAATCTAAAAAAGGCTACAGTAGCGTCGACAAAAAAGGGAGACAGCCTTTTGTATATCATAACACTGTTTTTAGCACTTTATTTTATAACTATACATATTCTCATACTCTCAGTTTCTTTCTGAACCACCTTCATTTGTCAGTTGTTTATGCACTCACACGTTGTTTGCACTTATTATCTTTAACTTATTGGGATGCTCCTGCTTAATAAATACTTTAATAAAAGAGGATGAGACTGAGTAGTCATACCTTAACTACTTTTTCATGAACAATGTCTGCTCTGCTTCTCGTCTTTTTTTGTTCTTTTTTCTTCTTGCACCATTTTTTAGCCCCCTTGAGATACGGAACGAGTGACCTCGTTCTGCACCGTCCTTGAAGCCTCAAATATTCCAAAGAGATATAAGATTGCGATTTCTAGGAGCCCCCAACTGCATATGAATATATTATCGACCCTCAGTTGCACGTCACAACGCAACTTTCATGAAGCGCGCCAACTGTGATACTGACTATAACCATCTACATTCATATCTTATAAACTATCAACCCAGCTGAGTAATTTACTACAGTTGGAAAATTTATCATTCGTAACAATTTGATCTTGCCTGCAAACTGGCATGTCTCATGTAAAAAACTACGTTGGCTAACAGAGAGCACTCTGGTCAGAATATCAGACGAGGGCAGCAGACTTTTATGTTGAAAACACGGTATCAAGGTCCAACTATCGGGACAGTCAAGTAGAATGCTTCTACTGCAGACGTTCCGGCAAAAATGATAAGAGGTGCGGGTGTAGAATTATGGTCTACTATGATATTGGTACTGCTCTAATAATAGACCTAATCCTAAAATTGTAGATTTAGCATGATGTAACTGCCTAATCTATAAGATCTTACGTGGAAGTTACATCGTCGTCTACAACAACCCATTGCATTGTAACAATTGCTAATATGTGATAGAGAACAAGCTTAGGCTAGAGATGGAACAATATGTTTAATACGAATAAAAGATACAAGATAACATTCAGCTGGGACCACGCCTGAAAGGCCGAGCCATGCCAAATGACCAACACGCATTCATTAAAATCCTTATTCCCCGCCCTTTCCATTTTTAGGTATTTCTCCGTGTTAAATATTGAATATTTATTTTCCGAGTAGTCTCATGTTCAGCTTTGAGGAT